ACGTAACGTAACGTGACACCTACATAAACGTAACGTGACACCTATGATAGGAAATTGAATGTTGCCATAAATCATATTTTCATGAAACGTAACGTGACACCAACATAAACCAGCAACATATTTTCACATTCAATTTAAAAAAATAAAAACTCATTAAGTTTGCGAAACGTAACATGACACGTTACATTTATGTAGGTGTCACGTTACGTTACATTTATATAGGTGTCACGTTACGTTACGTTTATGTAAATGTCACGTCATGTTACGTTTATGTAGGATCTTGTGGAATACATTCTTATCTAAATGGGACTTAAGACTCTATAAGAAATTACACAGGACTTAGCAAAGCATAAGTGTCCGAAAAAGGACTTATAAATAAGTCTCCCATTTTAAATAAATCTCAAAAGAGATATATATATATATATATATAATTTTTTTTAAAAATTTAAATATGAGAGATGAAACCGACGATAATTTTCCAACACGGTAATTGCATTGAAATGGGAAGGAAAGTAAAACTAACGCAAATCTGGGGCACTATATGTTGAACACGTTGGGTTAGAGTATCTCCAACGATTGAACAAATTTTTCATTAAATTTGAGTAAAAAAAAGACATTTGGCTCAATCTTATATCAATCACTCCAATGGTATACTGTAACTTTTATCAAAACGCACCGGACGTCCAGGGGGACGACCGACCGGTCGACCGGAAAGAGCAAAATCTGTACAATTCTGTAATTAAATTTTCAAGCTTGAGGGTCATCCGGGGGGTCGACCCCGGGGTCGATCGGATGGTCGACCTCCCAGTGTAAAATCTGTACAAAATTTTGCACAAAATTGGTCATCCTGTGGGTCATCCGATAGTGAAAATACAACGGTAATGAATAGTATTTTGGTAAAAGACCTAGTGCATTCTCAGTTTGGTGAAAAATTTAGTGAATTCTCAATCTGATATCGTTTTGATGAAATTGTTGGAGACAAAAAAGCTGTCCTTTTTCACCAAATTCAAATTTAATGATGAATTTGGTGAACTATTGGAGATGGTCTTAGGTTGGGTAGGGTCGGATCCATATGTTCAACACAATAACGTTTGAACCACTCATTTTTTCCGACGCTGTACTTTCTCTTTTTCTTTTTGAAGTCTAATTTGGTAATTTAATATTTTAGATTAAAAGTCAAAAAATTATTTAAAAAATTAAAAAATTAATAATTTATATCAAAAAATTAAATTTTTTTATTGTTTACACATTTTTTTCGTAAAAAATTAAAAAACTATTCTAAATATATTAATTTTTTTATCTCATATTTTAACTAAAAAATTAAAAAATTACTAAAATAATATATTAGCAAATAAGTCCACTAATTTTATGACATTATTATAGTGAATAATTTAATTGCTCCTTTAATATGTGTTGCGAAAGATAATCTTAAGGTCTATTTTGACAATATAATCAAAAGTTAATTTTTTGATTTTTTAAAATCATATCACCTTTTTATTTTTTATATGTTTTTTTAAAAAAATTAAAAAATTAATTTTTAATCTCCTTTTCAAAATAGACCGCTTATCTTTCTCAACACATTGGAGAAGATATTCACCCAAAAAAACACATATTGAAGAAGCAATTAAATTAGACTAATGTTAGATATTTCAAAATTTTACCGAAATGTTTACTAAATGTCTTACATGAATGTAAAACTCACATAATGTGAGTCGCATGTAAGACATTTGGTAAAATTTTTAATAGAACTTGTGAAATCTTTAACATTTTTAATTAAATTATTCACTGTAATAATGTTATCAGTGAGTGGATTTGTTTAAAAATAAAGAAAAAGATTAAGAGCTCTAAATATAAAATTTTGGGAGAGCTCTAATAAACTGTCCCTCACCCATGATATAATTTTTATTTATTTATTTATTTATTTATCTTAATACCAAGTGTATGGAACTTTGATTAGAGCGCTAAATTTAAACGATATACAAGCGAGTGGAGTGCATGTGAAATGAAGGTGACCCTGACGAGAATTAAAAAATATATTCCGTCAAAACAAAAAGTGAGTGGAGTGCATGTGAAATGAAGGTGACCCTGACGAGAATTAAAAAGAAAGAGGTGAAGTACAGTGTTGAAAAAAGTGAGTAGTTCAACGCGTTCAACGAATCTTTTGGATGTTTACGTTAGTAGCATGGGGGAAGCTGATTACAAATTAATTTTTTTTTTAAATATATATAAAAAAATATGAGAGATAATATGATTTAAAATGGATTAAAAATTAATTTTTAATTTTTTTAATTCTTCCCAAATTGAGCCTTAATTAAGAAAGAATTTTTTTTGGCAGGAGAGTATAACTTTTGTATTTAAATTAGGTTGTGTTTTTTATTCGTTAAGCTTGTTTTGAGAAATTGATTAAAAATTATTTTTTTGATTTTTTCTGAAAAAATATATAAAAAAATAAAGAGATGATGTGACTCAAAGTAGATTAAAAGTTAAAAATTAACTTTAGCCAAATTTCCAAAATACCATTGAAGATTTATATTATGAGTCTTACTAACAAAGTGTCTCTAGGACGCAAGTAAAAGAAATTTTTTTTAAAGAATACAAGAAATTTTTTATTAAATTTAATATATTTTTATTGAAATTAATATAATTTTTAACATTTTCATATATTTTTAAAATATTTTATACATAATTCTCAATATTAAATAATACATAAAAAAATACTGATTGTTATTTGTCTTATATTATAACTCTTTAGTAGTGATGGATATCACATCTACACCTATTGAATCATAAATCATATGAATTAATTTAAAAAATTTGAATCTTGACTAACTATATAATAGTATAGGTTATTTATAATAATCACATGACCTAATAAAATTAGAGTGGTAGAATAAAGTCACCACTAAAGTTTGTCTTCATTGTCTTTTGCTGCCTTTTTTGTTTGGGGAAAATTAAAGTTATTATAAATTTATAAAATAAATTTTATAATTTTAATTATTATAAATTAATAGTATTTTTCATTAAATATTATTAAAAACGTTATTAATTATTAATTTTCAAAGACGGTTTGAAAATTTTCTCACAAAAATATTACTAATTATAAATTTTAGCGACACATTAAAAAAATCATCACAAAAAAAGATACTAATTTTCAACTTTCACTGACAGTTTGAAAAATTTGTTATAGAAAAACGTCACTAATGGTAAGTTTTAGCGATAATTCATTAAAATCGTGACAAAAAAGTCACTAATTATTAATTTTTAGCGACATATACAAAAAATAGTCACAAAAAAATATTTTTATCAACAATTTTATTATGACTTATTTTCAATAAAATTTAATAAAATTAAATCTAACCATTAAAATTCATTGATAATTTACCCTAAAATTAAAGTAAGAGAATAAAGTCACCACTAAAGTCTCAGTCTTCATTGTCTTTTGCTGCCTTTTTTGTTTGGGAAATTACTCGGTAATTTCATAAAGCTATTATAAATTTATAAAATAAATTTTATAATTTTAATTATTAATATTTATAATTTTTTTAGTTTTCCTTATTTATACTATTCACTCTGTTTTCATTCCCAGAATTTATTTTTCAGAAAATTTACTTTTTTATTTTTCATAATTTTTTTTTCATTGAATTTTTTAATATTTTAAGCAATTTTTTAAACTTTAAACACGCCTAACATAAATTCACTTAAAAAATAAATTTTTGTGAAAAAAAATTGTAAAAAATTACAAAATATCAAAAATATAAAAATTCAGTATATTTTTCATAATTTTATGTGTTTATTAAGTTTTGAAAATAAAAAAATTCTTAAAATTTTAAAATATTCACTAAAAATAAAAAAATTAAATTTAAAAAAATTAAATTCAAAAAATTAAAACCAAATTATTTTTTACATTGAGAACTTTTCCTTTTATTTTCGTAAATTGTTGCCACCTCTGTATTAACGCATACAAACATCTCACACGTTTTGAATGACAACCATCAGATCGTGTTCTCAACGTGTGAGCCCAGTCTCATTGTCCCGCGTTGGGTTGGGTCCCATCCCACATGTTAATTTGTAAATCACATCGTCCTGCATTTTCGTATGTGGTACGTGATAAAAAATTATATATTATATACTTTTTATTTAAAAAAATTGACACTCAAATTCTATGATCCAAGTCATTCTAGAGTATTATATATAAATAAAAAAAAAATAATTTAATTTAATAATTGTAATTTTTTATTATATAATAATTTATTTATGAAAAAAATAAATGATTAATAATATTTAAAATTTAATCATCTATTTTATTTTTTGAATAAATTACAAATACACTCTTGACATTGGTTTAAAATATAAATTATCTCATATGGCTTTGAAAATTATATCTCACTCTTTCAAGTTTTTAATCACACAATAAATAGTCATTTTTATGAGTGATAAATTATCAAATTAATTAATAATTTTTAATAATATTATAAATATATTTCAATTGACGATTTAAATAATTTTATTGTTTTATATGAGCGTAATTAGAAATTTTATTTTTTTAATTCATTCTTTAAATAAAAAAATTCAAAGAAAATAATATTTGTAATTTTTAAAATTGTAAAGACAAATTATATTTTAAATAAACTGAAGAAGTGCATTTATATTTTATCCTTTATTTTAAAGATAAATAAGATAAAATTTAAAAAAAAATGAAAAACAGGAATAGATAATGTACTTTCCATAAATCAGCTCCACCGCAAAGTTGTGCAACCCCTACTATTTCTAAGAACTGGGTCTCAATTAATCAATCAATCAATCTCTCTCTCTCTCTCTCTCTCTCTCTCTCTCTCTCTCTCTCTCTCTCTCTCCAGACTCTACACTCACCCTACATCCCAACCCCTTCTCTTCTCCAACCTTCATCCTAGGTTACCATCTACTCTTTAAACCCAGATTGTTGTGGGGTTGGGAGGGAGTGGGTTTGAATTCAATTTAAGTACCACAGTTTGATAATGAAGTACCTGTTGTGTCCTCATTATCAAAAAGACTTGGAGTTTTGTTAACTGAAGAAGCAAAATTCTTATACATAGTAAGCAACAATGTTCAACAAATCTGTGTCGAGTTGAATCGAATGCAATGCTTCTTACAAGACGCAGATTATGCAATACAATCTGATCTTGTAGATGCGAGGGTCAACAACTGGTTGCGGAAATCAGAAAACTTGCTTATGAAACAAAGACATCCTCGAAGGTTATGTCATCGAAGTTTCATCCAAAAGGATCAAAAAGGGTTTCCGAAACACCCTTATAAGATTTACTTGCATCTACAACGGTTGGCTAGACGTTACGGGGGGCTCAGAAATGAGATCTATGACATTAAATACATTATCAGTCCCTCACCGCTAGTTGGCGTACTTACGGCTTGAAAAGTACAGGTGAGCCAGTTCAAGTGGTGATTTTAAATTTAAGTTTTTATTTATTAATAATTTGAATTATTGATATATTTTATTTAAAGTATATTTTTCTCTCTTTTGAGATTCAAAATTATTACCAATTAAAATTTGAAACTTAAATTATGTTAATATATTCCATTACTCTTTCGTGTGACATAATCAATTTTAGGAAAGATTAATATTTTATATTTTAATTTTTCAGTTAAATTTAGGAAAAATTAAAAAGATATCTCCCTACAAATTTGTGTAAGAATTTAAGAATAACAACAATTTACTTGCAAGTTAAAATTCTAGAAAATTGAAATCTTAAAGTAATAATGACAACTTTAACATATATAGTCCAAAATGTCCTCATGATCTTAAAATCCTTACGTCGTTGCACTCTCTTATGACCATTTATGTTGTTGGAGTGATTTCCAAATTTTAAAATTTAATATATTATCTTTTTATTTTTGTAAAATTTATACTTTTAGAAATTTCATTGACTTAGTCTGATTGATTGGTTATCGAAATTTCACTGGCTAACTAAAATTTTACTGACTTGTCTTAGGTCAATAAAATTTCATCAACTTTTTTTTTATTTTAAAATTTTGTATTCATCATGGATATTGTTTTATAGATCTTGATGAATACAAATTTTATAAATAAAAAAATTTTAGATCAAAAGTTATATTAATTTTGAAATTTTTAAATGAGAAAAAAAAGTAATAGGTGATACATGAAGCGGTAATAGTCATAGTGGGAGAATTTTTGCGCACCGTATATTTTTGAAGGAACTATATTATTATTATAAAAATTGTGTTGCCTTTATATTCAAAAACAATATTACTAGAATTATAGCAAAAAATCCTGTAAATTTATTAGAAACATATAAATTAATATTTCACAATTTTAACCTCCACTTTTTTTAATATATATTTTTATAAAGGATGTTTGTTTATATGGTGAAAAATGATTCATAAAATAGAATTTTTATATACAAAATTCATACAAATTATGTGACACTGTTATTTTTGGACCATAAAATGAGTTTTTTTCCTCTTTAAAATGATCACAAAAGAAAAAAAAAAAATCATTTTATGTGAGTT